AGCGACGGTCTCGCTTCATGCAGGTCGGCGTTCAAACCCCTGACCGTCCAAGTGGTTGGGACACCATTCCTTTCCCCCCTTCCCATCCCAAATCCTTATCCTGACCCCCTTCTCAGTGCTATATAGTCGTAATGGCTTGGCGCTTTACTCTAACAATAAATAAAAAAATCAAGGCTCTGTCTAGGACCGTCTACATGCATATATGATACAACTACAAGATACGAACATTACAAAAATTGCCTGAATAACTTTCAATTTATTAGGAATTCAATTCGACGTTACCAAATGCATGGTTGCAACCCAAGGAATGTAAACCAGAGTTATCAAATATAATAAAAGCACTATAGCTAACTGTGGAAGAATCTCGTAGTCTTATTTAATAAGGTTCTTGACCTGAGACATGTTGTGTGGCTAGACATGAGGTCAATGGTTTACTCAAATTCTTCACTACAAGAGTTAGCAAGGAAGGAAGGAAATTATCAGGGGGAAGCGCGCCAAACCATTACGGCTATATAGCACTGGGAAAGGGTCAGGATAAGGATTTGGGATGGAACGAGGGGGGAAGGAATGGTGTCCAACCATTTGGACGGTCGGGGATTGAACGCCGACCTGCATGAAGCGAGACTGCCGGTCACAAGTGTTAGCAAGTTAATGTTCTTATGTTGTCTTTCAGTGTTATATTGACCTTTGAAACCATTATTCTCAAGGTAATCCCTTCATCAGTGATCACTACCAAGGTTGTCCCTTCATCACTGGTCACTACCAAGGTTATCACTTCATCACTGGTCACTGCCAAGGTTATCACTTCATCACTGGTCACTGCCAAGGTTATCACTTCATCACTGGTCACTGCCAAGGTTATCCCTTCATCACTGGTCACTGCCAAGGTTATCCCTTCATCACTGGTCACTGCCAAGGTTATCACTTCATCACTGGTCACTGCCAAGGTTATCCCTTCATCACTGGTCACTGCCAAGGTTATCACTTCATCACTGGTCACTGCCAAGGTTATCCCTTCATCACTGGTCACTGCCAAGGTTATCACTTCATCACTGGTCACTGCCAAGGTTATCACTTCATCAGTGATCAACAATTCCATTATTCCTTTTTTTTTGTTATTTGTTTTGCCAATGTAAGTCTCAACGCTCTAATTGTAAACTGTATCTTTTTTTAACTGTATACCTGTTCACTCCAGCCCTCACTGTACACCTGTTCACTCCAGCCCTCACTGTACACCTGTTCACTCCAGCCCTCACTGTACACCTGTTCACTCCAGCCCTCACTGTACACCTGTTCACTCCAGCCCTCACTGTATACCTGTTCACTCCAGACCCCACTGTACACTTGTCCACTCCAGCTCTCACTGTATACCTGTTCACTCCAGACCCCACTGTACACCTGTCCACTCCAGCTCTCACTGTATACCTGTTCACTCCAGACCCCACTGTACACCTGTCCACTCCAGCTCTCACTGTATACCTGTTCACTCCAGACCCCACTGTACACTTGTCCACTCCAGCTCTCACTGTATACCTGTTCACTCCAGACCCCACTGTACACTTGTCCACTCCAGCTCTCACTGTATACCTGTTCACTCCACACCCCACTGTACACTTGTCCACTTCAGCCCTCACTGTATACCTGTTCACTCCAGCCCTCACTGTACACCTGTTCACTCCAGCCCTCACTGTATACCTGTTCACTCCAGCCCTCACTGTACACCTGTTCACTCCAGCCCTCACTGTATACCTGTTCACTCCAGCCCTCACTGTACACCTGTTCACTCCAGCCCTCACTGTATACCTGTTCACTCCAGACCCCACTGTACACTTGTTCACTCCAGCCCTCACTGTATACCTGTTCACTCCAGACCCCACTGTACACTTGTTCACTCCAGCCCTCACTGTATACCTGTTCACTCCAGACCCCACTGTACACTTGTTCACTCCAGCCCTCACTGTATACCTGTTCACTCCAGACCCCACTGTACACTTGTTCACTCCAGCCCTCACTGTATACCTGTTCACTCCAGCCCTCACTGTACACATACTGGTGGATCCTGTTCTACCCTGTAGCTCTGGTCCACAGATAACTCCTGCCTCACCCTGTAGCTCTGGTCCACAGATAACTCCTGCCTCACCCTGTAGCTCTGGTCCACAGATAACTCCTGCCTCACCCTGTAGCTCTGGTCCACAGATAACTCCTGCCTCACCCTGTAGCTCTGGTCCACAGATAACTCCTGCCTCACCCTGTAGCTCTGGTCCACAGATAACTCCTGCCTCACCCTGTAGCTCTGGTCCACAGATAACTCCTGCCTCACCCTGTAGCCAACATGAATGCTGTGCGAGGCATCATTACGATCGATAAATACCATATATAATAAAACTGACGCTGTGATCAGGCTTGAGAATTAACCTAGATAAGGAAACAGCTTTTAACTTGGGAAATATGTGAAGGAACTGACTCTTTATCGTGAGAGATCGTTACTCCTTGAGTTTCCATAACTACGATCGACTTGAGAATGGTCCAGGACGGACCGAAACGTCGTCGTCCCTTCACCTTCTAGTGTGTGGTCTGGTCAACATACTTCAGCCACGTTATTGTGACTCATCGCCTCCATAACTACACATTCTTCAATATTTGACAATCAACAAGTTCTGCCTTGGGAGTGGCGTCATGCTTGTTTACACATATTTACAAGTAAGTCAACTGAATATACCGTATGGTAAAGAGTAACAAACTGCCAGACACAACAGGCAAGTTAAATAACTTCATAATTTAAATCGGGATATTTGCAATGTAAACTGACCTGTGTTTATGCAATGTAAAGTGGACGAGTTTACAGACATGGTCAGTATCCTTACAAAATATAAAAAATACAACAACAACAACAACAACAAAGCCAGTATAATTGCCACTCCAATTAGCAACAATAGACTCATACGGGGTAGACAGAGTACAAGGATTACCAAATATCTATCGGGAAGGAAACGCATGTAAATTGGACATTACTCCATAGTGTGTAGTTGAGAAATATCCAACGATGTACAAGCACATTTGTAAAAGACATGGGCCAGATTCACGAAAGCACTTACGCAAGCACTTACGAACGTGTACATCTTTCCTCAATCTTTGACGGCTTTGGTTACATTTATTAAACAGTTTACAAGCATGAAAACTTCCCATTTAACTGTTGTTATTGATATAAACAGCCTCCTGTTGCTTCGGAGCTCACGAACTGTTTAATAACTGTAAACAAAGCCGCCAAAGATAGAGAAAAGATGTACAAGTTCGTAAGTGCTTTCGTGAATCTGGCCCCAGGTTCTTAGGGTGCAAAACGTGTATTTTTAGATGGAGTATTTACATTTGTTAAGACGGGGGTAGCTGAAGGGGGTGAGAGCAAGGAGAGAGCCTTGTAGTATTCTGAGTGAACTTACAGTTTTGAGACTAGTTTTGTGGTAAAATTGTAAGGCTATCTGTCTCTCTCTCTCTTTACCCCCATTTCTCACTCCCTACTTCCCCCTCTTCTTTCCTTTCTTGTCTTACCTTGCCTCTCCCTCCTTCTCTACCTTCTTCCCACTTCTCATTTAGGATTATACTTTAAACCTTCACAGATAGCATTATTCTGAAGATTAATTTCATGGTTAGTTTTACCATGCTGATAACTGTGTGTGTGTGTGTGTGTGTGTGTGTGTGTGTGTGTGTGTGTGTGTGTGTGTGTGTGTGTGTGTGTGTGTGTGTGTGTGTGTGTGTGTGTGTGTGTGCGCGCGCGCGCACTCCCCTGGATATTTATTAATTTACAATCTGTATATATCAATTTATTTTTATTATGATCTTTATTTACGTTTTGATACGGGAAACAAACAGCTGGAGTAAGAATCCTGCGCGTGTGTGTGTGTGTGGCTCTTTAGTGCGTGCAGAGACTCACGCGAGTGTGTGTTTGCTCTCATTTAAGTGCACTTATGGTGTTTGGAAACACTCCTTCTCCGAGATCGTGTTCACTTCAAGTGGCCCGAGGTGCTCTTCACCCTGATACATCTTTCCCGGATATTGGCGCCTCGGCTGTGTCATATTGTGTGTGTGTGTGTGTGTGTGTGTGTGTGTGTGTGTGTGTGTGTGTGTGTGTGTGTGTGTGTGTGTGTGTGTGTGTGTGTGTGTGTGTGAAAATGATGACATACTAAAGATGTTGTCAATAATGAAGATGCTAACCATAAAGATGGTGACAGTAAAGATGGTGGAGATGAAGATGATGTTAAAGATTAAGAAGATAGTAGCGATAAAGAAGAATTACATAAACAGAATACATAAACATGAAAGTAATGACCAGACGATGAACATTGCAACAAAAATATATAAGATGATAATAAAGACGATAATAAACTTCAAGACGCTGGATATAAAGAAGACATTAAAATGAAGACCTTCAAGAAGATAAAACTTAAAAATATATATTTAAAACCATACACACAAAAACACATAAAAATTCACAGACTCATCTCCTCTTCCCTCTATAGTGCAACATCTCAAAAAAATTCTACTGGAGACCTACAGTGAAGTCTAATGAAACCACAACCCCGTAAACCCATTAATCTACAATCACAACATGTCTAAAGTGTCAGCCCCTCACACTGTGTTTAAATGTGTTGTGAGTTGTGGGCAGTAATAACACTTTCACCAGAGAAGCTTTATTGCTGTGTGTCGTAGCTGAGTTTATCATCTTTTTCTCAAGGAGTTGTGGTAGTAATTGGTTGACTTCGCGGAGGGCCTCTGGTGAGGATCTCGAAGTGATTGCCACTGGTGAGTGCCTCTGGTGAGTGCCTCTGTCTCACTCGTTAACTTGGGTAGTAACTTATGTTGGTGTCTGATCTCCTTTGTGAGGCCTTTGGGACATGGCTCACAGCTGGGGGGACCCCTTCCAGTATGGGGCTCTCATTCCATTACTCAATACCCCTTCTTCCATTCATTACTCACTACCCCTATCTCTCCCTCTCGCCCCCCATGTATCTCTCTAATTTACCAACGTTTATCTTTATATTTTTTCAATCTTTCCACTTTTTTTCCCCTTGCTTACTCTCCCTGTTCCTTAATTTTTATTCCTCTCTCCTTCCCTTCCATTTCTTCTGACCTTTACTCTCCTTAACATGCCTTACTTCTTCATTATACCTTGTTCCATTATACCCTCTCCTGACTTTCATGCAGTCAGTTTGCCCAACACACACACACACACACACACACACACACACACACACACACACACACACACACACACACACACACACAGGGGCGGCGGAGGGAGGGAGGGTTCAGACCACATGAATACATACTTCCTACATGAGACCAAACATGGTATATTTGGCTAAGATGTTTGTAAAATGTTTGGGGGGAACTTGGACATTTAGAATGAAGTATTTTGACATTTTTTAACATTTCTTACAGACTTATCTCTAAATTATTTATATCTTTTTGTGCATATTATCACAGTAATGTAGTGTGCGGTAATAATTTTCCTGGCGGTTCATATTTGGTCAAATCTACATTTGACGGATTGACGGGACGTCGAATATTGTGAGCAGTTATTTTTGGTCCCCAATCACCAGGGATTGGAGATCTTGCTCGACAAGTTTGTTAATGGAGTGTTCTGCCACAACACGATGGAGAGTTGTAGAGTGTTGAGTTGAGAGTTGAGAGTTGAGTGCTTGGAGGGCCTGCGGGCCGCTCCAAGCAACAGCCTGGTGGACCAAACTCTCACAAGTCAAGACTGGCCTCGGACCGGGCTTGGGGAGTAGTAGAACTCCCAGAACCCCATCAAGCAGGTATCAAGCAGAGCTCTATACGGCAAGCTGGTGGAGCTTGTCGCAGAACATGCAAAAATACTCAAGCACGCGACCACTATGACAAACCTTTTTGTCTAGGTTTTCTCCCTTTAAGTTCTATTTCTGAACGACAGGTGATTAAAAAAGTGCATTCTTGCGCCATCTGTTGGTCAATATTAACAGTAAATTACCTGTCTGAATATCCTGACATTCCGTGGGCCAGGAATCTCGCTCTAATTGACACAGTGCACACGGGGGAATATTGTTTTGATGCCAGCCCATACTCGTAAGTATTCGTTCGTATAATAAACCATTTAGT